GCTAAATGCCAGGCCCTGCTGTCTATACTTTTAAATTTATATTTAAAAAAAAAAAATATATATATATATATACATATGCTGGAGATTAAACTTTAAATTTTATATTTTTAAGTATATTATGATGTCTGGGTAGATACTGCACCTTTGGGGGCTAGCTAATTCTTAGAGACAGCTAAGGGCTCTGCCCCAGCTGCCTTTGATATTCAAACTACTCAGTCCAAAGCATAATGCCTCCATCTGGCCCATGCAACTGAGAGGCACTATTCCTAGGCCTTCACATCAGCATGTAGCCAAGTTCCAAGCAAATCAGGAAACATTCCTACATTTTAGAGCTTACATACCAATGATTTAAAGCTTCTACATGCCTAGAGTTTACTGTTATTATGTACCTGTAGTTTATTGAAACTAATTAACCCTAATACTGGTCACCATGCCCTGCACTGTTGTTCCCTGGAAATTCAGTAAAGGCCACAGCCGAAGCCCACCACAGCTCCTCCTGACCAGTGCTGGTGCTTTCACGTGTTGCTCTGTGGGACAAGCCTTGCCTCCGAGGACCAAGGGGTATAATAAACTGTGTTTCCCAAGCCTCTCTTGTGTCTCCTTTTCTTACTGCACCTGATTAACCACAAGAAAAAGAAAAAAGAAAAAACAAAAACAGAACCTTGTGTGCATGTCTCTCTTCATTTCCCTTTTATTCTCCCTTCTCCCTTCCCCAGGAGGTCAATGAGCAAAATATTACATTTTTAAAAGTACATATATATTGATATGGAGATAAACTACCCATGTGCTTGCAAAAGAGGTGCCTAAAAAAACATTTCAATTCGGAATGGAAAATTAAATTGTGGACTGACAATACTGGTCATGTAATACAAAAGAATAAGGCAACTCCAACTATAAAGTAAAAATAAAAAAGCCTCCATAAAATTTGAAACACCTGCTACACAATGTTAATGCACAATTTTATCTGGAAAATATTTTGCTTCTTCCCTCACCTGTTTCCCCCACCCATTCTGCATGCAACTCTATAAACAGCAGTTATCCCCCATTATAAAACAGTTGACGGTTAAAACAATGAGCCAACCAAGAAAGTACAATATTCCATAACTGACATTTACTGCATTGGCCTTGGACTTCTAATCTTTACCAGACGGGCACACAAATCAATCCATCAGCTCATAAAGGTGTGCTTTTTTAACCTCTAAAACAGATGGGATTGGCCAGAAGTGTCTGGCATGTCAAACTGCTAATCACTGCTGCCCTTTGCACAAAATAACCCACTTAAGTTGAGGCATGGTTGCACTGTAACCGACATTAGTCTGTGGGAAACCCATTTAACTGTCACACACTCCTGCCACTCCTGCTCTCCCTTAATTAAGCCTAATGCCTTATGCTTTGACCTTTTGTTCTAGCCTATTAACCCTATCTAGTACAAGTTCAATTATGTTAAACTAAAAACTTTGCTGTAAAATATTAAATGCCAAGCTCAAAAAATCATAAGGAGCATCCTCCCAGTATGCACCCTGATACTCAATGCATTCAAAAATAAAACCTCATTTTCAAAGTAGTGAAGATTCTTACATAGTTGAGAAAAACCAAATTGTCATTCAGGTCCAACCTTGTTATTTTACAAAACAGAGGCCCCAAAACATTAAATGACTTGTCCATTTCATTGCTTCTCCAAAGCAAAGCCATGCTAAAACCTATCTAATCCCTAGCTCTAATTCTTTATTCTCCATGGTGTCTCTGATTAATAGTTAAACCACCCAGCACTGTGTTAAGGACACTAACACTTTCACCACAAATTATTACCTTTCAGCATCCTTTAGAATATGTTACACAAACAGGCCTAAAGCAAAACAAATAGTGACTTCAATATAGTTTAGATGTAGTTTTCCCTTTCCCTTCCCACACACCAAAACTTCCCATCTCCTCACTACTTCTTTTCCCTTTGCAAAAGTAATTATGGTCATTGAGAATTACTAAATCCTAAAACACTCACAAGGCAATATATATACATTGTTTTCTTTCTTGATGTTTCATTGAGATATTTATACTACAGCTGATGATATAAGATACAGACAGCAATTACAACTTGTTACTTATCTTCATTGGAAAAATTCACAGCATCAGATCTTTCAAGATAACATTTTTTTACATATATGTATATGGATTTCTGTTTACATTTACCAGAAATATAAAAAAGTGAAAAAACTTTATACTGCAAAGTAAA